GACACTTTTTTCTCTTTCAGCTAGGCCTGAATAGCAGGTGAATAGGTCTTACTGAAAGTATTACTTCTTTCCACCCTTCCATCATAAATGCCATAAGTTCCTCTGTAAGACAATGGGCTGCACAACCATTCTTTTCCTTTTCAAGTTCCATATATCATCAGATGTGGGAGTAAACAGTCACTGAACGAAGACAGCAAGGAGTATCCTTTATATGCTTGTGTTGAAAACTGAAGCATCTCCTGGAATATCTGACCAAGGTTATTGCCACATTTTACAAATAATACAACATGACAAATACTAACTGTACATAAACCGAATATATCCCATAGTTTGTAGCTTGAGTTTAGCAATTCACAGGTCCAACAACTGACATTAATAATAGATGACAGACTTACAAGTAAAGTATCATAGAATCATAGCATGGTTTAGGTTAGAAGGGACATTAAAGATCATCTAGTTCCAAGCTCCCTGCCATGGTCAAGGACACCTCCCACTAGACCTGGTTGCTCAAGGTAATACCATTCTGTACTATCTGTTCTCCATTTGTAAGTTTTGCAGGTCTGGCCACAATGTTGTGCAACATAGCTAAATTCCTCCTACTCAAATGCCTTGCTTACTCAGAGAAATACAATTGTTTGAATAACAAAGTTGGATATTTGTAATCTCTTATACTATTAGCCATACAAATAAATGGTTATATATCATTTGATGGTTACAATGTTTGTGATGTACTAAACTTTGTCAAGTATTTATGTTTTGCCTTCCAGTGGAGTTAGAAGCAATCTCAACATTTGACATTTATACTCCTCTTTCACTGGAGAGATTGCTTTTCTATTCTTTATTAAAATTCTCACCCCCTTTAGATTCTCATCAGTATTTTGCTTTCATGGGATATACTGTGATAGAAGAACTTGTTTGATCCCAAGATTTTGAGTGCTTTGTGAGGAGTCTCTAAGGATAAAGGGCATGTTAGAGAGCAAGGGACTGGTCTCCCCAGTTAGCAGTAGGATTAAGCCTTTTATCTTGCATAAATACCAATGATTAAGAAATTCAAAATCAACATGAAAAACTGTTTTTTCACACAATACATAATGAAACAATGGTCTTCGCTGAAACGGTCCTGTGGTCATCAACAGGGTTATTCATGCTATCCAGTATAGTCAGTCTTATAGACAAGGAAGAACTACTCAGAGGGGCTTGTCATGTGTTGGAGGCCGCATGAAAAGGGTTGATGGAGAAGCACATGTACGGACAAGAAGTGAAGCACAGGTAAAAGGGAAAGGACTGATGCAGAGGCAACTGAAAGGTGGCAATGATGGACATACTGAGGAAAAAAGGCTGCAACAGTAGAGCGAGAACCTTCACCTGGGTGATGGCAGCATCTGGAAAAGGAATGGGAAGATGTTCACTTTGGTAAGGAGAACACAAGAAAGAATGTTTTATAAAACCTGACAAGTAAAATACATACATACAAAAGAGCATAATTTCAATTTAAAAAAAAAATGTAACGAAGGTGTGAACAAGACTGTTTGGAAAAAATACCTTGGGCAAGAAAATGGATTAAAAAAGAAGACAGGTTTTAAAGAGAGGTTGGATGTGCAGTTGAGAGGGCCTTTGAGAGACACAGGGAACAGGTAATTCCTGCAGGCATCTCTATTAATTCTTTTCAACCTTCTGGGCCATCTGCTGGGATAGGATTCGAAGATTTCAGCCATTTGTCCAGTATTTCTCAATGCTGGCATGGCAACATGAAAATCCCACTGGAAGAAAAGAAAAACGTTTAAGGGGAAAGGTGAAGACTTTTGTTTCAGCCACGCCTGTGACTGAACCGAGGCAGAGGCGAGGCCCAGTTCGGCCCTCCCCGATGCTCCCAGTCCCCGGCACAGCGTTACCAACAGCGCCTAGAAGAGGAG